TTAAAAGTTGGTGACATATTTGGCTTGCACCAACTTTCAGTGAATAAAAGGAAGGATACCACTTTAGCCCACACTCAAACGTTATTTTCATATTATTATACCACGCTGTTGACCAAAACACCAAATGAGTACTCCCCTAGTCTATTTATCATTTAAATGTCCATATTTTCATATCTCCCCTTAAACTAAACAATTAAAAAATATATAGTTTTGCAATGTAGAAAGATGTGAACATATACAAGTGACAGAAGAATTTTACCGGATGTTGAGCAAGGAACTGATCCTCCGGGATAAGCATATCATCAACTTTCTGCCTTTTTGGCTCAGGTTCATCAGGCAGCGAGAGGTGGAGCCTCATCAGGAGGCGGAGGTGGCGGCATTCCTTGTGCATTGGCGGTGGCGGCATCATAGGCATGTTAGGCGGAGGTGGCATGGGCATTGAACCATAAGGTCTTTGCAAAGGAGTGAACTGAGAACCCGGCGGAGGAGGCACCGGCATAGTTGGTGGGTTCACCGAGATTGGTGGTCGAGGCATCATCATCGATGGTGGATGTGGCGGCCTCACTGAAGGAATCATTTGAATAATACCGGGCCTTGGCGGTTGAGCAGTAGAGTATGGGACGGCATTTGGTGGATATCTAGGTATGTTGAGCGCCAACCCGGGTGGTGGAGGGAGGGGACGAACTGAAGGAACTCCGGGTCTCAGCGGGGGAGCAGCAGGTCCCGGAAGATTATTACTAAGGTCAGATTGTTCATCCCCTGAAAGATTCTGAGACAATGCTTGATTTGCAGTACGGCCAATGCTACCAGTGTGCCCATCCCATATGACTTGCTTTGGTTGTTCGTCCTTCTTTTTCTCAATCTCAGCCTTGACCGCATTTGAAACCTCTTCTTCAGTTGTCCCAAATATATCAGGCCTGGTTCGAGCAAGCCCAACAATGTTCCTAGAGATCTCGTCGTCAGCAGCAAGAGTTGTCTCTCTAATCTTTGCCATCATCCTCTCCTTCTGCTCCTTGTATTTGGGATCAATCAGGGAAATCCTCATGTGCTCAGCCATCTCGCTAATTGGTATCAACTCACCAGTTATTGGCGATATCACAAACTTGGTTGGGTCTCTCTCAGCTAGTATCCTCTCCTCAGGCCTCTTCCAGTTCTTCACAATCCTCATCGGAGGCTCGGGTTCATCATTCAGAGTCATCTTAACATCACCCTTCTTCTCATCTCCGCCACCATTCTCCTCAATTCTTGCAGCCCTCATTCCTTCCTCTACCATCTGAATCTCCTCCTCATCCATCTCCATCTCAACCTCCTTCGCAGTCCCCACCACCTCCATTCCCTCCTCTTCCTCCAAAGCTGACACCTTGCTCCTCCTAATAACCTCCTCCAACGACATAGGAACTGGCAACTCCTCATCCTCCTCATCTGCAAACTCAATAGTTTCCACCACCACGAAATCATGCCAATCAATCATCGCCATCTGCATCCTCTCCTGCTCAATCTCATCCTCTGCTTTCAGCCTCGCCTGCTCCTGCGACCGTTCCCACTCCAACCTATGCAAACACCTCTCAAGAACCACAGTCATATCTTGCACACCATTCCTCAACTTGTCTGTCAAACCCTGAGGCGGCATCAAAACCTTCGAGTACGCATCAGCCAATGTCGTAAAAAAAGTAAACATGCTATGTGTCGGCTTCAAAAAATAAAACTGCGGGTTGTTTCCTTCTCTCGCAGTCAAGGCTTGCAAAAAATTCTTCCCGTTTCTCGCGACAAACTGAGCTGTAAGCTTAATTATATCCACTTCTTCCCCAGTAATCCCCTCGGGGAGCCTAACTGTGTACTGCTCAGCCTCAGGGGGCTCCAAAACTTTCTTGGGTTGCACAAGAAATTGAGAAGCCGGGTCAGTTTTCGATTTCTCATCTGTGACTGCTGGGGCTTCCGATGAATCAACTCTCATAGCATCGCCGGGATCCGATGGCGGCTGCTGCTCCTGCAAAGAGTCGGGCAGCTGGGCCGAGGACTGCAACTGGGTTTTGAACTCCGAAACTCTGTGCTGGTAATAAGCATGATAAGGATCTGACGGGTTCAGGAAATTGAACTTGGCATTGCCCGCGTTATGAGCCATAATCCTCCGCTCGAACTCAGGGCCGTTCTTCGCGACGAAAGTCGCAGTCTTCTCAATGATCACTCGAATATCCGGCGGCGGGTGGATAATTCCGATGGTTCTCGTGTGAGTCGCCACCGGAGCCGGGGGCTCAGGCTTCGGAGGTTTCTCGGTTTTCTCGTCGGACGAAGGAACTTGAGCCAGAGGTAGCTCGCCGAGGTTTCCATCTTCAGGTGGGGCCGGGAGAGGGAGGATCGCAGCCACCATGGCTAGGGTTTTCCACTCGGTTTGAAAAACGGCCTAGGGTTTTCAATCTACCACCGGAGTTTAAAAAAAAAACTACCACCTATCCGATCACGAGCCCAGATTTAGGGATTTGAAGAGAAAATTTTGAGAAAAATGATGGAGATATGGAAATTTACCTGTGATATTATATTATGGTGATGAGATCGGTGAAGAGGCTAGGGTTTGGTTGGAAGAACCCTGAAGAGGACTCCAGGGCAAGCACGATTTGGGAATTTTTATGCGATAAAGTGCAGGCGGCGGTAATTGATGAATCGGGTCGGGTCGGATGCATTAAGATTGCTACCCGTTAATGCGAAAGCTGTGAACGGGGTGAAATTTTAGAGGGTTTTATTTTGGCTTTATTGCATTTAAATACCCTATAGTTTTCCTCTACTTTGCACTTATATACCTTGCTTTTTTTGGGGCAGCACCTTTTTTTTTTTGCCCCCAAGCTTACCTAAAGGGCACCCCCAAACTCACAGCCTCGTATATTCTAGAAAATTAAATTCATGTAGGTGCTCCGAATGAGAGTTGAATCTGAGACCTTTGAGTACTACGTGTAGCTAGCTTACCAACATACATCAACTCTCTTATTTCGTAGCGCTTATATACCATTAAGGTTTTAAAATTTATACGCATGTACACCCTCGCTATTATTTGTCAACGCTTATATAACCCAAAGTTTTTTAAACTTGCACTTAAGTTTTCTAAAGTTTTTAAAGTCCGCACTTAAACAATCTAGTCATGCAAATTTGAGGGTGTTGAAGTGTAAGTTTTTAAACTTTAGGATATTTAAGTGTTAATTTTTTATAAATTAGGATATCTTAGTGCAAGTTTTAAAATCTTAAGGGAATTTAAGCGCTACAAAAAAAGTGAGGGTATATAAGTGCTAGTATTAAAGACTTTAGGGTGTATAACTGCTACCAAAAATAAGTGAATGTATATAGGTGCAAAGCAGGGGAAACTATAATCCCTTCCCATTTTTTTTATTTAAAAAAAAAGCCCCCTCAATGGGAAATACACTTTAGTACCGTAAATTTATCCATATAAATAAATGAAAAACATAATTCATAGTATGGTATTTCCCTCATAAAGAATGTATTACTATACAAAACTGAAACGGCAATAGTAATTAATCTGTACCGATGGCTTGTGTAGGGAGCTTTTTTTTTTTGAAATAATAGTAGTAGATATTTGATTGTATTACTATTGAGAGTCTTACTTGGTAATATATATTTGATTATTTATTATTCTTGATTAGTTGTATGCAGACTTGCTGGGGTTTTCAAAGTGTGACATGTGTAGGGGGCTTTTTTTTAAATAATAGTAATAGATATTTGATTGTATTATTATCGAGTGTGTATTAGAGAAGCTTACTGAAGGGAATAGGATTAGCTATGATTAATTTTAATCTGGTAGTTAATTTCTTACGTCTGGCTATTTAGAATTTTTTTTAAATTATGATTAGTTTTTATTTCATTTGGATCCTCGTGTGAAGATATGATTAGTGTTATTACACTTGATATTTTTTTATAAGATAGATGAACCACGTCATCACATTTAGGTGTTGGGTACTTTCTGTAAAATTATATATTTACTACACTTACTGGGTTTACTATTGTAGAATGTCTTTTCAAACTATAGTAAACTTTTAATTTATAAATAGTTTTTTGCCAAATTTCTTCAAAAGAAGATTAGCTTAGTTGGTTAAGTTCTTAGGGTTTAAACCATCGCCTGCGGGAACGAATGCCCTGCCAACCACATATTTTTTCAGGCGTAAAATTAGGACGTTTTGTATGTAAACCCATTTTTGTTAACCTTCCAACTTTGAAAAAGAAATTTTCCCTATGAACCCAAAATTCAGCCCCCATTTATTTTGAGTCCACTCACTACAAAAGTCACGGCTAGATCCAAAAAAATTACTAAATTTTAAATCAAATTTCTATTCTAGGAATTTATTATATTACTATAACATGCGCCCTAAGTGTTTATAATGCAGTATTTAAACTAAATGTTTAAAATTTATTTTTGCTACTTTCTTTTTTCATACTTATGTCACGATATCACAAATTATAGATGATGTTTTGCCTATGTATCTAAAAATTTACCCCATTTATTTTTAAATTCGCACTTTCGGGAAAAAATTTCTGCATATAAACAAAGAGTTTTACCACCACTTATTTTTAAAACCACATATTTTTAGGCATTAAATTGGGGCATTTTGATATAAACCCAATTTATAAGCTAACTTATTAAGCCCATCAACTTCACAAAAATGACTATTTAAGATCAAAACACATACTTCATCAACTTTAATAAAATAATATAATAATAATATAAAGTACAATAGAAAGATTTTTTCCGTACAAACCAAGAACTACATCTCCATTTATTTTTAAATTCACCTTTATTCTCATATAACCTATAGTCTCATCCCTATTTATTTTTAAACCCGACTACTTTTTATTTAATGATTTTTTTTTCTATAAACCCAAACTTTTATACCCATTTACTTTTAAACTAGTCCTCTTTAACACAGCTCATAGACACAAAATACTCAACCAGCATATTTTAAACTGAATTTTATATTTCAACGCATGATATATTGTGTAAATTGTGATATTGTGTTATTATTTCTATAGTTTTATGTCAAAGTGATTAGATATGTGGTGTATTTATAAATCAAATAATGAAATAATTAGATATATAGTGTATTTATAAATCAAATAATTAAATATTTTTTTGTTGTTTTCACACAAATGTCTCAGCATCGAGTGGGTGAATTTTGCGTGTATATACTAATTAAATATAATTTAGTCTATAATTTGTAGGATGTTTTTCATTGCTACAGTAACATGTCTAATTAATAACGAGATCAAAGCTCTCCTTAATCACCTCGCCCACTTCTCTATTCAAGCCTCTGCCAGTCCAGACAAGCTTCTCTGGCCATATCACCCCTCAGGCTCTTATTCTGTTAAATCTCTCTATGACCTCATCACCTCAGGTGGAGTAACCTCTCTTCACCATTCCTTTATTTGGAATTCCCCCATCCCTTTGAAGGTAAAAATTTTTTTCTGGATTGCTAGTAAGCTCAAGTTGAATACCAGGGACAACTTGATTACCAAAGGTTGGGGGGGGGAGTCCTCTCTGCCCCGTCTGTAACGAGGAATCTGAATCACATGAGCATCTATTCATAAGGTGTGTCATTTCGTCATCAACATGGGCACTTCTCCTTCCTCTCGTTCCTCCAGCTGCTCGGCCTCATCACCTAGAAGACCTGATCTCTCTAAACTTCAACTCAGTCCTCAATCAGGATATTGTCATATTATGGAGAGTTTTTTTACCGTGCTTCTGCTGGTGTATATGGAATAGCAGAAACAATCTTATCTTTAACGGTATTAATGTTAGTCATCACCGCATCGCCTCTAATATCGCAAGATATGTTCTTTTTTGGACAGGCAACACTGGTAGTAAATCAGGAGCCAAGCTTCATCAAGCTGCTATTAATCTACGTTTGAAGCATATAGCACAAGACACCAGTGATGCAGAAGTGGGTGATAACTTCTCTTATGCAGGTTGATCTCTCCCTGTCCTCCCCCCTCCCCTCCAGTCTCTTGGCCCAGCTCGTTTTGGAGGTCTCTAGTCATCCTTGTTATTTCTGAAGCACTCCAGTCTTATATGTAGCTGCTGATGTTTTATTTTGGTAGATGTTTTCCCTAGCAACCAATGTATCAGGTCATCTTGAGACCAGTTTCGTTTTCTGATGTTTTTTTCTTTCTCTCTTTTGGTTAGACTATCCCAAGTTGTCGGTCATGTAATTATCTTTCAGTACATGTTTTTCATATACATATATATCTATAATATGCAGGGTATCTCACCCTGTTTTCAGTCAAAAAAAAATGTCTAATTAATAACTTTTTTTGTCGAAGATTTTCAATAGGAAAATAGCGTTAAAGCCTACAGATTTAGCTTATAGGTTACAGTTTTTAATTCTTAGCAACCCCATATTTTTTTTAATAGGGTTATTATTTAATATTAGTCCCTCTACTTCAATAATTGCCTATTAGCCCTTCAAATCTTAATAATTGGCCATTAGTCCCTCAAATCCTAATGTTGTTGCAATGTGGTCCCACAATGATGAAAATACCCTCGTCTAATATTTGTAATTTAGCATTTTTAGAGTATATTTTTTATAGATATTGCCCCCCAAAATCTTCAATAATTTCATATTAGTTCCTCAAATTTGAATAATTGTTCATTAGTCCATCAACTCATAGTCTTATTGCAATTTAGTCACTCAATGTCCAAAATACACTCATCTAATATTTTTAAAAGATTAGTTGCAATTTGGCATGTTAAAGTTTACACTTTTTTAGACTTTATATCCACAAGTTTATTTAACACTTTAATACCCGAAAATTACACCTTTTTAACTTTGATACCCAAACCATTTTTGACACTTTAATACCCCAAAATTTATATATTTTTTAACTTTTATACTACAAAGATTCTAATTCTTTTTACTTTGATACCACAAAGTTTGCATATTTTTTAACTTTAATATCCTAAAGTTTAAGAAAAAATTTAAGGTATCAAGTGTCAAAAATAAAATTTTAGGGTATCAAAGTTAATAAGATATGAACTTTTTCTTAACAAAAGTGTCAGAAAAATTTTGAGGTATCAAAGTTAAAAAATGTGTGAACTTTAGAGGCATCAAAGTGTCAAAAAACTTTGGTATTAAAGTTAAAATGTGTAAACTTTAACTTACCAAAATGTAAATAATCTATTTTTGTGCAATATGAGTTTTAAAAGAGAAATCATAACTAAGAGCGATTTTCGTCATCGAGAGACTAAATTGTAATACCCCTTTAGAATTTGACAGACCAATGAGCAATTATTGAGATTTGAGGGACTAATATGGAATTACTGAAGCTGTGAAGGACTAATTTTCTCAAAAACACTTCTTCCTAAAGCAAATGTAATTTTTTATTTTATTTCTTGCCTTTCTCCATACTAATTTATGTACATAACAATTACCAAGGCATTAACTAATATTATTTATAAAACCTTTTATTTTGCTTTCTCCAAACTAATTATCAACAACAATACAATTACCAAAACCATTAGGACTATCCATATGCTAAAACCATTATTTTTAAAATTTTCCTACACTAATTTTATCTACGATACAAAATTAAAGAATGTTTTCTTTCACACGCTAAAAAAATGTTCTTT